CTTTTCCTGCTTAGAAAGTAGTCTTATACGAAGGAAAATACGGTATACTACTCTCTCACACATTCACCAGAAATTTTGATTTTGGTGTTCATATTTGGAATAAAAATATTGGATGGAATCCTGTATGGGGTTTAAATGTGTGTAAGCATCATAATTATGGTGCTATGCAGTGAATCCTCTCCAAATCCCACATACTAGGAAGAAGCTGCTGTGATCAACTGGGATCTGTTGCCCTGTCACTCAAGAAATGGCTAGATGCCCTCTCATGAGTAATTTCTGGTGCAATAGGCAGAAAATCTCCACCCGCTTCCATGTGTAATCTCTGGTGTGATAGCCTGAAATAGGCCCTCTGTTGCAATTTGCCCTTGCATTACAGATCATTCATGCAGTTTTCATTTAAAAAGCATCCGCAGAATGCTATGCTGGGAATTATGTTTCTCCCATCTACTCTACCCACCACCTTAATTATGTTTCCAATCTCAAATATGATTGTTCATATCTGTGTTACTATATGCATCTATTAGTTATTGCACTCATTTAGAAAAGAAGAATGAAATGAGGGGAGTCTCTGGTTCATGCTGATTTGAGACTGAGTGCACCAGAACTGAGCTCTGGAATTCAGGAACACAGTTAAGCCCTGGAATGTGTCATAAGTTGGAAAATATACCTCTTTGGACTGCAACTCACAGAATACAGAGATAACTTGTATACACAGGCAGTTTATGGTCCAAGCAGGGAAGTGAGGGAATCTCGCCCTGCCAATTCTATATAAGTCATTTAAGAAAGATCTATTACCTTCAGTCAATGCAAGTCTTTGAGGTGGGGAGTAGCCTGGCAATTTCCCTGCTCCATTTAGCCCAATAGTGGGCAACTGAAAAGAGAGCCAGCGTGGCATAATGGTTTCAGTGTTGGACTACGACTCTGGAGACAAAGGTTCAATTCCTAACTCAGCCATGGAAACCCACTGCGTAACCTTGGGCAAGTCACACTCTCTCAGACTCAGAATATGGCAATGGCAAAATTCCTCTGAACAAATCTTGTCAAGAAAACCCCATGATAGGGCCACCATAAGTCAGAGATGACGTGAAGGCACACAACAACAAGTGGGCAACTGTGGCAGATCTAGGAGCCAAATATAGCCCTCTTATTTTTTGTGTGTGTGTTTTAAAATTGTTTTTGAATTTTATTGATAGTTTATATTTTAACTTTGACTTGTATGTTTTCAGTGATGACAGCTGTCATATCATCATAAGCATTCTCATCATCACCACTAGCATTATCAATATTTTGGTTTCACAGTTAGGATGCTGCAGGATTATGTGACCGGCCCACTCCTGCCAGCAAGTGAAGCTCTAAGGAGCAGAAGCAGGGACCCTGTTGCAAGTTCTCATCATGGCTTCCCTTGCTGGTGAGAAGGGTCACATCATCCTGGTGCATCCAGCAAAATGACATCTCTTACTCTGGATGGGTGACTGGCTTTTAAGGTGGGTTTCAAGGGTCAGACGGGGAATTAAAGCATTCCCATGGGGGGGGGGCGGCACCTTATTGATTTAAACGGAGGTCGCCCATCCACGAATATGTAAAACTGACGGCTTGAAGTCTGCAAGAACAGAGGGGCGACTGTATATGAAGGCTCCCCCTGCAATTCTAAATGCTACAGTGTATAGAAGAACCTGTTCAATTCAGAGAGTGACCCTCTACTTATGAAAGAGAGTGACAGCAATGTGCAACAAGTGGGGCGGGGAAGCACAATCCCTCTCCTCAGGTGTTTTCTCTATCTAGTTTTTAAATGGCTGAATAAAGAGAATTCAAGTCTTAGAAATGTCTGCTCCTTTTGAAAGTGAATGCTGACAGGCCCTCCTTTACTACAGCATTGTGAGAGACGCCACTATAATTAACTCAGATGGCAAGAAGAATTCTGCAAAGTCGAGCAGCTATTCATGTGAAGGAACAGTCATCTATTGGCTTGTATGATCCAAGTTGCAAAAAGGACTGTTATCAGAAGCAACCAAAGGGGGTGACAAATAACTTTCAGTCTGACCAGGTCCCTAAGAAAGCAAAGTCAAAAGGAGGCCAGTTTAGCCTCTGGTGTCTACATATTTTCTCCAAAGGAGAACAAAGGCTAGATTTGTTTTATCCAATAAAATTCAATATTCATTTGATCTAATAAAAGGTGGCTGGAGAAAACACTGGTTGCTTTGCCATGGAGAACAGTGTTGAATTAGTCACTATAAAATTAGCAGACAAATGGAAAGGTACCATTAGCATTACTACTACTGTTACTACTACCACTATCTTCATTTATTATTTCTTGAGTGAAATAATAGAAAAATGAAAGAAAGAAAGAAAGAAAGAAAGAAAGACTGTTTCAATGTGTTTTGCAGTTAAAATATTCCTAAAGTTAATAAAATAAAAATATAAACATATTCTTTCTCTTCATAGAATCATAGAATCATAGAGTTGGAAGAGACCACAAGGGCCATCCAGTCCAACCCCTTCTGCCACGCAGGAACTCAAAATGCACAGGGAAGCCAGTGAAATCCACAAACACCTGGACAATTTCAACAGAAAAGAAGAAACCCTGAAAGTAAACAAACTTTGGCACCAGTCCTCAAAAACACCAAAATCAGGACTCAGCAAATGCAAATGAACTTCAAAATCAGGGGGTTTCCCAACAGACAATGGACCATTAATTAAATAGACACTAATCCTCGTCTCATATCCTCCCACCCTGAGGCCTTGCCTCAACAGAACAATGCACAGGTTTACATGCTAATCCTCTCAACCAAGGGTCACACAGTATATATACACCACACATGTCCATGCCACCATTCTCTAAAGATGCCAGCCACAGGTGTAGGCAAAACATAAGGAATACATTCATCTAGAACACAGCCTCACAGCTAAAAACCTATGGATGCCAGCCATAAAAGCCTTCACCTTCACCACCACTTCTTCAAATATCCCCTGGACTACAAGAATTAATTAAAAGAGGAAGCTGATTAGTAATGTCTGTGGCCTTGCTCTTGGAACCATTTTCATCCTGTGTTCATTTGGTGGTTATCTGGGTTTTCTCAGCAATGGTCCCACATTCATGGAATTGATTTATAGGGTGTGTGTGGTTCAACAATTATCTTCCCCTGCCAATTTTTTTTAAATGTCATGTCGATTTTAATGCTATTCATTTAACAAGTAATTGTGTATGTATTGTGGTTACTGAATATACTCTGCTCAGAGGCATGAATGGTGCCAATACTGGTCTCATTTTGATGCCAAAAAACAACAACAACCCAGCTTTGGGGCTTGATTAATTTCATCCTAACTTCTACATGTTTTATGGTTTTAAATTGTTTTAAATGGATGTTAAAGTGTCTTGCACTAGGGTGTCAAACTGTTCAATATGTTTTTATTCTGTTCAATTATTCTTACTTTCTTAATTGTTTCAGCTGTTAAAACTGACTTTATTCCATGGCTTCCTGGGATCCTTGGATATAGGGTCCAAAGCATAGAATAGCAATAGTAAATACATTTACTTACTATTGAGTGAGTTAAAATGGACAGGAATGGTCCACTTTGAATCAGACAACCACACAGTGTTCTAATCAGGGACTGAAAAGGCAAGAAGAAACAAGGTAGCTTTCATATTTTTGCAAAAGCAGTCAGAGGATATAGTGCAAAATCAGACTGAATCATTTTGATAAGGCTCCATGAGAAAGCAAAGCAGCTTCAAAGCTATGAATATCACCATAATTCAACTATATGCACCAACCACTGAGGCAGAGCAAGAAGAAATTGATAGATTTTATGAAGGAATACAGGAAAAAAATGACAACACACCAACACAAGATGTCAAGCTGATTATCGGAGATTGGAATGCAAAAGTTGGAAGTAAAGAAGAATCAAAAACAGTAAGCAAACACATTTTTCATACAACCAGAGAAAAGGTTATACACATGGACATCACCAGATGGCCAACACAAAACCCAAATGGATTACTTAATTGGAAGTAAAAGATGGCAAAGCTCCATACTGGTGGCCAAGACTAAACCAGGTGCTGTGCTGATTGTGGCACAGATCATGAACTACTCATTTCAAATATAAAAGTAAAACCAGTCATCATACCAAAATATGATTTAAACAACATTTCCACAGAATTTATTGATAATAGAAGGAACAGATTTGCAGTACTAAGAATAATAGATTGTGAACCGGAAGAGCTTTGGTCTGAAGCCAGGGACATAATAAAAGAAGACTGCATAAAGAAACTTCCAACAGACAAAAGGAAAGTGAAAAATACATGGATGACAGATAAAAAACTACTAGCAATAAAGGAAAGAAGAGAAACAAAACAAAAAGGAGATAGGAATAAATTAAGAACCATGAATAATAATAATAATAATAATAATTTATTTGTACCCTGCCTTTTGCTGCAGCAATCAAGGCAGCTTATAGCATATAGAAACCCCAACAACAAACATAATACCCCCATTAAAAATACATTAAATATAATCTCAATTAAAATAGTTTAAAACAATAAACAGTTAAAACAGTAGGCACTCTGGGGTGAGAAAAATAAAGAAAGGAGGGTGTCTAATGAGGAGAGACCTAGTTTGAAGGTGATTTTATTCTGGAAAGGCCTGCCGAAAGAGATCCGTCTTGATGGCTTTTTAAAAGCCATCTAAAGTTGATTATCTGACAGATCTCTTCCGGCAAGGTGTTCCAGAGTCTGGGAGCAG